ATTAAATCATATTGAATATATATTATTATATATACAAATAATATAAAATCTTAATTTTTTTTCAAAATTTCCATTCATAAATTGTAAGGACTATTATAACGGCATCTCTCTTACATTATATAAATTATTTGTTTTGATGGTCTTAATGATTTTTTTTTTAAAAAAAATTATAAATAGTGTCAAATTTTAATAATTTAATAACATGGCTACAATAAAAAAAAATAAAATTCATTTACAATTCAGGCAATTTCGACAACTCAAGTAATTCGGCTTTAACTTGGGTCGGGTTTGGGCAGGTAATTTCGGATTATAATTCGGGCGTAGGCAGGCCTAGATAGGTCTCAACATAACTTGGATTGGGCTTAGACAACCTCCCAACTTAATCGAATCCGTCCAAATTCCACCCCTACCTATCAAATTATAACATTATAAATTAAATTGTAACAAATTTATGAAAATGTGAAACGTCTTCCATAAATCTATTCTTCCTTGGGGAGTAACACACAGCCTACAAAGTTACTAGGGGTTTAAGGTTGGTCTCGCTGGTCTCTATGTTCATTGAATAGCCTAATAATGTTACCTATAAACATACTACACAAAGTTGATAATCCACGTTCCTTAAAAAAGGGGGCCTCCATTTTACGAATGAAACATGAGCCGCTGATGATCGGGGCTCTTTGTTTCCTGTTTTCTCGGTCATTTGTCTGTCACTTTAATTTTGTGTATTTTTTGACTTTTTATAAAATATAAATTGAATTTAAATTGAATTTAAAGTAATGTGTTAGAGAAATAATACGACTTAAATAAGATGATATGACTTAAATAGACTATTGACTTTTTGACTTTTTTAAAACTTACCAAACTAGCCCTTAATGTGTTAGAAAAAATTAATAACATATTTGATTTATCTCTTAAAATATAATTTTGAATTTTTTTTAAATTATGTTTTTTATTATACATCAATCAATTAATTTTTTTTTCTCATTCTTTATCACATTTTCTACTACACCTATTTATTTAACTTTAAAAAATATTAAATCATTCCAAATTCTAAAAGAAAATGCATGAAACCCCAGTGGGGTGCTGGGGTCTCTTGTGATTGGTCCAAAAAATTGTGTTTTTTTTTTTTTTTTAAAAAAACTTTCAGTCAATGGCAGAGTCCCAAGTGGCACTGGGGATCACTGGAGGTCCCCGGCAAAGTCCAATTCTAAAATTCTAAGAATATTTTCAAAATATATAATCAAATAAATTTGTTAATTTTCTAAACACTCTCAAAAACATTATTTTTAAAATCTCAAAATACAAACCAAATAAGGCTTAGGTATTCCTTTTTCATTTTTATTGTATTCACAATTTCATTTTCTATTGTCTATATGTTTTTATTTTTTGTCTGGTTGAAACCAAGGTTGATAGAACAAGACATGTTTATGGCTATTTTAGAAAGATGGTTATAATCAATTTTTTTGTTAAAAACTACTTATAAGCTACTTATAAACAATTTTTTTGTGAGAGAGGAAGCGAGTTATAATTCGGAAAGTGAATTATAATCCACTTTTGGCTTAATGAGCAAGCTAAAAGCATACATTTTTGTGTGTTAAAATTTGACTACATAATTAATAAGAGTACTTTCAATCACATGTAAGACTTAGGGTCCGTTTGGGAAGGGTTAATTTGGCTATTTTAGTTATAAAAGGCAAAATAGACTCTTTTAGCTATAAAAAATAAAACATCACATACAACTCATAATCATTATACTATTCTCTCACAAAAAAAAATCAAAAAGCTAAAAAGGTAACCCACTTTCCAAACCAACCCTTAGGCTTATTTTCGGGAAGATGATAAAAAGTAGTTTTTTGGCTTTTAACGAAACTTTTGATTTTTTTAGACAAATGATTTGAGAAAATGGTAAAAAGTGACTTTTGACTTTTTTGATTAATATTTGTTTATGATGTCAAATCATAATAAAATGACCAAATTACCCCCATTTAGTTTAAAATATTTACAACTTCATCCATGTAACACATTTTGACCCATAAGGGGTAAAATTATAATTTCACCATTGGCTAAAAACCAACTTTCCAAATAAAAAAAATTCAAAAAAATCAACTTTTAACTTTTGTTTCAAACCAAAAAAAGTAACCCAAAACCAACTTTTCAAAACAAGCCTTAGATTTGTATTTGTGCGATTGGTCATCAACTAGGTCTCGTTTATGAACATACTATTTGAGTAATTTTTTAATTTTTTAGTTAAAATATGATGTAAAAAAAATTAGTATGTTTGTGATAACTTTTTAACTTTTTACAAAAAGATATGCAAAAAGTAAAGAGAAAATAAAATCATTAACTTTTTGATATGAATTATTGACTTTTAATTTTTTTAATAACTTTTTAATTAAAAAAATCACTTGTCAAACAAGACCTAAGAAGACACTTACATAATAACATTAACAACCACTCACAAGAAACACAAAGTACAATAAGAAAAATTGCACAACTACTCGCATGTCATTTTCCTCAACTTTATTATAGAGTGTTTTGCCACTCCATGGAAGGTTTCTCCTCATAGGAAATCTTTCATGCAGGAGTTACATTCGCCTTTGATTCTCTTTCCTTACAAGATACTTTCCATCTACGGATCGCATCCTTTACTAGATTGGTTTTCTAGTTAGGTTAAGGTTAATCTCCTCTAAGAGTCCTACTGGCCTAACTTCGAACTTAGATCTTCAATAAGGCCAAATCTTTGAACACAACAACCAGGTTGGGATATGGGCACTCCAATATCTCGACTCATCAAGTTCTGTCACTCGGTATCTTAGTTCAAGGCCGTGTCATGTGACCTAACTCGGGAGTACGTGCTCACAATTTTATCAACAATTTCATTTTCGAAAGTTCGCGTTTTTTTGTTTTTTTGTTTTTTTTAATTTTTTTTTTTGATTACTTGAAATGAAGATTGAAAGAATAAAACATGTGAGAAAGGTAAAATAATGCATTTTATTAACATATATAATATAATTTTATCTTTTTTTTTTGGGCGTTTAGGTTAGACTTCTATTTTATTAGAATAAATCAATGGGGAGGGAAATCCTTCAACTTAAAATTTCTAAAGGCTATACATAATTGACTCAGATGTGTGAAATTGTATAAAAAATTAGAGACTAAGTAGACTAATTAATTATTAATGAATATTATTTTATTTCACTCAAATGTGTGTATATTGTATAAACACACCATATTTTAAAGTAGTTTGGAGGGATCTGAGGCTTCGTTTGAGATGTAGATTGTTTTTTGGATTTAATCTGGAGGTAAAAAGTTTTATTTGGGATGATTCTTTTGACTTTTTGTGGATTGTTTTTTGGATTTAATTTTTTATGAGAAAAAATAAAATAATTATTATTTGAACGTAACATTTTTTTAATTTGAGATTAAAAAATTTATTTTATCTTTTTATGGTTATTTTCTAACCCATCTAAACCTCTCGTGCAAAACCAATGCTAAATATATGAAAATCTAAACCTCTCGTGCAAAACCAATGCTAAATATATGAAAGTGATGTATAATTAAGATAATCAAAATGTACGAGTTGAAAAATGAATAGAGAAATGGTATTCGTGATAGTTGAGAAAGGTTTTGGTATAACTAATCTTAAAATGATTTATGATTAAGATTTGGAAAATGTTAACACACACTTTTTTGAAAGGATGCATTATATACATTTTTAATTATGTTATTTTATTATTTAGTTATGATCAATTTTATTATTTAATTATAATATTATTTTAATTATAATTTATGAATTCTTTAATTATATTTTATATTATATTTAATTATGATATTTTTTATTTTTTAATTACCACTCAAAAAAATATAAAATTATACAATACAATAATATTTCCCTTAAGCCTCCGTTTGGGAAGTGGGTTGGCTTTTTAGCTTTTTGGCTTTTTTGGTTATTTTAGCCTGGGTTTAAAAGTTTGGTTTGGGACGGGTTTTTTGGCTTTTTTGAGTTTTTTTATGAGAGAAGAATGTAATGATTATGGGTTAGATGCGATATTTTGTTTGTTATGACTAAAATAACCTATTTTATTTTTTGTGACTAAAATAGTCAAAAAAATCTACAAACCCACTTACCAAACACAGGCTAAGATTGATATATCAGTATCGTCAATAAAATTTTTGTAATCCTATTACCCTATATACATTCAGCCTCCGTTTGGGAAGTGGGTTGGCTTTTTGGCTTTTTGGCTATTTTAGCCTGGGCTATTTTAGCCTGGTTTGGGAAGGGCTTTTTGACTTTTTGGCTTTTTTAGTTTTTTTTGTGAGAGAGGATTGTAATGATTATGGGTTGGATTTGATGTTTTGTTTTTTGTGGCTAAAATAGCCTATTTTGTTTTTTGTGGCTATTTTAGCCAAAAAAGCCCAAAAAAGCCAATCCCAAACAGAGGCTGGATTGTACGATGCAGTCCGAATAGGGAAGAATTTCAAAACACAACCATGAAAGTGTACGAAAAATGTTTGAGACTTTTTTTTTGGGAAGGTTTGGATTAATAATGTGTTTATATTGTTTTTTTTTAATTTTTTATTTGATCCAATTACAAATAAATAAGAATTATAAGCCTGGGTTTGGCAAAGGCTTTTTCAGGCTTTTTTGACTATTTTAGCCACAAAAAACAAAATAGGCTATTTTAACAAAACATCACATCCAACCTATAATCATTACATTCTTCTCTCACAAAAAAAGTCAAAAAGTCAAAAAGTCAAAAAGTTCTTCCCAAACCAAGCTTTTTAGCCCAGGTTAAAATAGCCAAAAAAGTCAAAAAACCAACCCACTTCCCAAATGGAGGCTAAGAATAATGTTTTGTGAGAGAGTGAATGATTACTGAAAATACATGGGATGTACAAAAATTTTAGATACAAAAAATTAATCTAATGGATTAACAATTTTCTCCTACAGTATTATTCTAATTATAATTACTCTCTCTCTCTCTCTTGTCTGTCTCTCTGGTTTTACGCCGGATGGCAGATGAAACCGCCCCATTGCCCCCATTATAAGCATCCACCTTCTTCTCATTCTTGTTCTCTTCCCAATTTCCGCTTCTCTCTCTAAAACCCTGCACTCTCTCTCTCTCTCTCTCTCTCTAAAGCAGCAGCAGCAGCAGCAGCAGCAGCAGAAGATTTGGGTTCGAAGAGTTGAGGGTCTTAGTTTGAATCCTTGATTACAGCGTGTAGTAGAACTCCGAAAGCATAGTTTGAGATAATGATGTTGATTGGTGAGGTTCAGTAAGTAACGGATGATCAGGTACTTGTTCTTTTTCAGTTTTCAAGTGGATTCCATCAATTTTGGTTTCGTCTACACTCTCAGCTCTATTTTAACTCTCAACTCAAGATGTGCTTTTTTTTGTTTTTTTTTTGTTTTTGTGTCTTCTTTAGGTGTTCAAACAGAGCTTGATAGAGACTTGGCACAGTTTAAAGCATATCATAAATGGCTCCTGAGAATAGCAACTGGCTTTCGTTTTCGCTATCGTCAGTGGAGATGTTGAATTCCTCGTCCTCTCGGTCTCAGATGCTTCAATCCACGATGAATCTCTTGCCTTTTCATGGCGCCTCCCCCTCCACCTCCACCGATGATTCTCACAACTACTACTTCCTCGATAATCTCTATGCCAACGGTATTTCTCCTTTTCATTTCCTTTTCTTCGATTTACTGCTTGGGATTTTCATGTCTTTATTATAACTCGACTCACAGAATTAGAGTCCTTTTGAGATTGATCACTCGAATCTGAAAATTTTCGAGTCGGTTTATGGCTGAGTTACTTGGAAATCAATCTTTCTGTTTGGTTCCTGAGGAAAGTATGTACGAATAGAAAAATAAACTGAAACTACTGTTCCTGAAAATTACATTTCGTACTTGAGAGGATTTTCAGTCCTAAATCCTTAGTTTCTCTCTCTCTCTCTCTCTCTCTCTCTCTTGTTCCGCATTTTCTCAGTAACCAAACGGGGCCCAATGTTACTTCTCGGGGGTTTATGTATCATTTTCCTATATATTATTATTGTAAAAATTTTAGCTGGAATTGTTCTCTCCCGTTTTTTTGTCTGTGATTGAGTTGCTTGGAGTCTGGCTCTTCCAACTGGGTCAGTTCAGTTGTATTGTATTGTATCGCAGGTTGGGAAAATACAAAGCCTGAAGGTCTAGCTATGGCACAAAGCATTGGAGATTCATCGATTTTCACAAGCTTCGTGGATTCACAAATCAATCAACAGCCATCTCCAAAGCTGGAAGACTTTCTCGGTGGCGATTCGACTTTGGTTCGATACTCGGATAGCCAAACAGAGACACAGGACTCGTCCCTGACTCACATCTACGATCAAAGTGGTTCAGCCTTATTTGCCGACCACCCAGATTTCAGAACAATAGATGGGGGGTTCCAAGCTTTTTCAACAAACTCGAGCTCTGAAATTGATGACTCGGCTTCTGTGCCCATGACTCAGCTCACTTCCGGCGACTTCTCAGGCCAGTGCCCAAATAGTGGACTGTCACTGGGTGGTGTTGTTAATACTCAGAGATCAGAGAAGGCACTCATTTCAGTTGATTCGGAGGAGACTTGTAAGAAGATGAGTGATACGTTTGGGCAGAGAACTTCGATTTACAGAGGGGTCACTCGGTAATTCATAGCACTTCCTTAGTTCCTTCCTTTATTATTATTATTATAATGTTGATACTATCTATGTTTTTCTTCGTTTTTTAATCTTACTGTTCATGATGTGGTTTACTGGTGTTGATGCAGGCATAGATGGACGGGAAGGTACGAAGCGCATCTATGGGACAACAGCTGTAGAAGAGAGGGCCAGGCCAGAAAGGGACGTCAAGGTCCCCTCTCTCTCTCTCTCTCTCTCTCGTACTTACGTACTCATATACACACTCTGAATGTAGTATAAAATACACTGTATAACAGAAAAGTGACGACGTCAAGGTCTTCCTCCTCTCTTTTTTCTAGTAGAGTTTTTTGAATTTATAAATTGGATATAGTTTTAAATAAAAAATTTTTAAATTCAAACAGTTTTTAAAATTTGTTTGATATTTTAGGGTCATTTATTAGTATATATTTTTTTATTTTTTTGTGAGATGATTGTGGTGATGTGGTGGAGAAGTGATGTGAATTAAATAAGAAATGATATGATTTAAATAAGATAATTATAATCAAAATAAAATAATATGTCAAAATAACAAGTTTTATTTTAGTACATTCTAAACAACGCTTTAAATAGCTTTATAAAATCTTGGTGTTAACCTTATTTTTAAGTAGTGTGAAATGATCTAAATAAATATATTTTAAATTTTTTATGAAAAAATGTACTGCAAAAAAATAAGAGGTGATGTGAACTAAATTATTACAGAATATTTTGGGAAAACGGTTAAAAATTATTTATTGACTTTTTTTTGTGAGAGAAGTGGGTTAAAAATTGAGAAGTGATTTTTAACTCATTTTCCAAAACATTTCTACATTTATCTAAACAAAAATGTTTAAGACGCCCTTTCCCTTCACCCCTTTTGACTCCTTTTTTTTGATTGACTATTTTTTCTTTTACTTTTTTTTTTTTCCTTCTCTTCCAATTACCACCCGCCACGTGTGTGTGGGATTGTGGGGTGGTGATTGGAGGGGGTTTCTATCAATGCTCTTTTTTTTTTGCATGTTTTTTAAAAAAAGCCAATAAGCTAAAAAAATTACTTTTCAAAATAGGCTCAAGACTTGGAATATGTTATTTTAATAATTTTTTAATTATTTGATTAAAATGAGAGAAAAAAATTATTACATTTGTAATGATTATTTAATTTTTTATAAAAAGATGTGTAAAAAGTAAAAAAAAATATTTTTGATTTTTGATTATAAGTTATTGATTTTTTAAATTTTTTTAATAATTTTTTATTTTTTAAGCTAAAATAATGGATTGTCAAACGAGATGTAAGTGTGCTTATTTAAAAGACGTCAAACAAATTCTTTGAAGTTGGAATCATATTTTGAATTTTAAAAAGTTACCACATTCAGTATATTGTTTTTTTTGAATTTAGTAATTTTTATTTTTAGATTCTTTCATAAATATTTTTTTTATTTTTAAATGCATTTAGGGCCATTTTGGGAACAATGGTAAAAAGTTAAGGGTATGTTTGGTTTGGGTTTGAGAGACGTGTTTTAGAGTTAAAAAGTACGAAAAGTTGTTTGGTTTGGTTTTTTTCAAAAGATGTTTAGGAAAATTATTTTGAGAGAGTTCTGAAAAAAGTGATTGATTTGATGTGTATGAGAGAGAGATTTGTTTGGAAAATTTGTTTGGTTTACAAGTTTTGAGAAATTTTTTTGGAAAAATTTGTTTGGTTTGATTACTTTTAAAAACTTATTTGTAGAGAAAATTTCCCAAAAATTTTTCAGAAATACAAATCAAACGAACCCTAATTTTCTGACTTTTTAGCTTTTTTCAGCCAAAAAAGTCAATTTCTTTATCCAAAATAATTCAGTTTTTTTTACAAAAAAAATTACTAAAAAAGTCAAAAAAAAAATGAAAAAGTCAAATTTTTACTACACTTTCCAAAACATGACTTTAGTTTAAAATTTTGATTTTTTAAATTATAAAAAAAATTCACTAAAAAATTCATAAAGAGATTAATAGGTTTTGACGCGCAGGTGGTGCTGTGGCATCATCTGCGTCTTTCAAATCATACTTTTATGATGATTGATTGAGACTGATATGCTTCTACGATTGTACTGCATGGGCCGCCATTTTTTCATTTTTTGGGTTGAATTTGTTGTCTTTTACCTCTGTTTTCTTTATTTTATTTTATTTTAAAAAATTCGATTTTATTTCCCTATCTATGATTCATTGAAATTTTTACTGTTTTCAAACAAGGATTCCCTATAAAATACCAATCACAGAAGTGGAAAATATTAACAATTTATTTTCTTGTCTCATTGTTTTCTCTGTGGAAAAAATATCCTGAAGTTAACCATCCTTGATCCTATTTTTGGGTTACAACCTGCAACCTTTACGTTGTTGCTTCTGAAACTCTGAAATTTTATCACATTACTTTTTAACTCTGGCTTTTTGTTCACTGATGAGACTGGCTCTCAATTTGGTGGTTGACCAAGTCACCAGAATGAGAAAATGAGGTTTCAATGCAATGCAGAGCCCTCCCTTTTCAAGGAAACTGATGATAGCTGGCTATAGTTATTTATTTTTTGCATTCCCCTTGTTTTGAATTTTTTAACAAACCCGCATGGTTTGATAGTTGGCTATGAAATTGTTTTCAAGATTTTTATATGGGTGGATGATAGAAATCATATTAGCCCCAAGTATGCAATTGATAAATTTTTATTAATGTTAATTACACGGATAGTATTCAAATCGTATATTTGGAGTTCTTCAATTAAAAAATTACCACCTGTGCCTATGGCTAAATAATTGTGTACCACCACTTTGTGGTGTGGTGGGGGTGTGTAGGTTTAATTTCTATAGATAAGAATTTGATATTTTTTTCTCTTTCCCATCTTGGGATTGTACTTTGTCGTTTATTTCTTTGCTCGAGTTTGGTGTGTTGTTAGACTTTAATTGTCTATCATATTGATGTAATGCTTTTCATATTTGTAATTAATTGCCTACCAAATTACGCTATTTTCACTTTTATGGAAGGGACCAGGATCCTCTCTTATTATTTCTCTGCAATGATGTTGTGTTTGAAAAATGACATTAAAATATTACCTTTTTATTTTAAACTACATAACTCCAAAAGGACATCGTTGTGCTTCAATTATTTATGTTGGACCATTGGATTATCACAATAAAATTATTTCAGAGAAAAAAAATGGTAGATGATCCTCATTTGCAGATGGCTTTTGTAATTATTTTTTATTTGTTTATAGTTGATGGATTTAAGGCCATGTTTGTTTGGGTGGACATGAGCTTGGGATTGGACTAATAGTCTAATAAAATTATTAATCCGATGTTTGGTTAAACAATTCAAGTACGGATTAATTATTTTACACTTACTATTAGTTAAGATAAGATACATAATCCAACGGATTGGTTATCCTAGGATTATTAGTCATGGGAATGCTAATCCAGTCCGCCCAAACAAACATGGCCTAAATGTTTTATTTAATTTGAGGTGATTGTAAGTGATACTTGAGGGGTTATTTGTGTAATTAACCGTTTTAGTTAGGCAAAACTTAAAATTTAATTTAGCTAAGAATTTTGTGAAACATGTCAAGTAAATGATTGATTAGGCCAGAACTTTACTGCATTGTTTGTAATTTGCATGATATTGAAAAATTGGCAGGTCAATAAATTAAAACAGTAATGATTTAGATTCTCATAATTCTTGCTTGGAAATGTTGAAGATGGAGTATGAAAAACTAAAAGAGAAGTAACGAATATAAAATTGTCAACACCATCTCAGATTCACACACATTTGATCCTGTAAAACTTCACACTCAATACGCGCGTGCACACACAATTCTCCTCATTTTCCTTTGTTTTGTTTGAGTAATGAATTTCTTAATCAGAAATCTTTGACTACCTTGTAAGCTAATGTGAAATCTTTCCCAATTTTTGCATGAAATGTGGAATGCTGAAATCTCTGGTTGTCACTCAATGTGAAATTTGATCTGCAGTGTATCTGGGTAAGTAATCTTTTTATCCATTTAATATATATATACATATATTTTGTGTTTTAACTTTGCCATCAATGATTTGTAATGCATTTGTTTAAATATCAGGTGGCTATGACAAAGAAGAAAAGGCTGCGAGGGCTTATGATTTGGCAGCTCTAAAATACTGGGGTCCTACTGCCACCACCAACTTCCCTGTAATATATAATACACCCTTCTAGCCCTTCCAGTTTTCTATGTTATTCAGTTTGACAGTTCCTTTGTCACTGCATTATAATTTAGGTATTTGACCAATAATGTGATCTTAAGCACTGAAGGAGATGTCTTGTTGCCCTATAGGTTTCAAATTACACCAAAGAACTAGAGGAGATGAAACACGTGACTAAACAAGAATTCATTGCATCACTGAGAAGGTCTGCTGACCTGCTTTTGCTCTTCTCTGTTTTTTTTATAAATTTTTCTTTTAATTTTTTTATTTCTTTAATAACTTAATTATCTAGTAGAATTGCTTGCACCACAAATGATCTGCTCTTGCTGAAGAAATTTCTCTAATAATTGTCAGGAAAAGTAGTGGATTTTCAAGGGGAGCATCTATCTACAGGGGTGTAACAAGGTTTGAACACTCCATCCAATGACCAATCTATGTCTAATGGCTTTTCAACCATTCCATTTTTATTGTTGCTGACATTATGAACTAGTGATTTTTCACAGGCATCACCAACAGGGTCGATGGCAAGCAAGGATAGGTCGTGTTGCAGGGAACAAAGATCTGTACCTTGGGACATTTGGTAATAATTTTTTCTGATTTAACTTTTAATGATAAAGAGGTTGGCTATCTCATATTGAGCTGCAGAGACCTGAAAAAATATTTTTTTCCATAAAAAATTCTTCTAGGAACATTTTTTTGAATGAAATACTCACTGGACCCAATATATTTATCTTTCAGCAACCCAAGAGGAAGCAGCAGAGGCATATGACATAGCAGCAATAAAGTTCAGGGGAGTGAATGCAGTAACCAATTTTGAGATGAACCGGTACGATGTTGACACCATTTTGAAAAGTGCCCTTCCGATTGGTGGGGCTGCTAAGCGGTTGAAGCTCTCACTTGAGGCAGATCAGAAACCGTCTTTGAACAACCTAGACCAACAACCTCAGTGCAGCAGTAACAGTAGCAGTTCTAGCATCATCAATTTTACTAATTCCAGTCAGCCACTTGAAGCTATCCCATGTGGAGTGCCATTTGATTCCACTGCTCGTTACCATCATGACCTCTTCCACCTCAATTCGAACAGTGCCGTCGCTTCTGATAACCCTGGCTCTTCCTCCACCATGGTAACTCCTATGACTTTCTTGCCATCAGCGCCTGAGTTTTTTATTTGGCCTCACCAATCCTATTAACATGACCAACTAACTAGTTATTAAACTTAAGTCAACAAATATCGGTCAGTTAATGTTTTTGACTGCTATAGCCCATGTCTGTTGTATTCTCTTCTCTTAAAGCTGAGAGATCTCATCTGACCCACTAAACTTTTGAGTAGCATTTAATTATATGTAGCAGAGATGAGGTATATGGTTCTGTTGAAGGGTGAAGTCTTTGTTTCCTAGAAAGAAAAAAAAAATCCGAAGTTTTTTAACTCTAGCTTTTGTTCAGTAGGTTGATGAGATATGTATGTTGAATGGGCCTGGGGCATTCCATCTTGCGGAAGAAGTGTCCCCTCCTCTAGTTTTGCTTCGGTTAAGAGTTACTTCTCTCATTGCTAATTGTTACTGTGTTAGTGCTTAATTAACATACAAAACCATGGTTTCCATCATTTTATCTTTCATTATCGTTTTCCTAGTTTACCAACTTTTTATGTGTACTTAATGGAACTCGGGCTCTTTCTGTTTTTTAAATTTTAATTTTTTTTTTTTTAATTTTATGATAGTATTGCTATATGAAGTTGGAAAATTTTGGCTGAGGTTGAAAAATGAACCTAGATATTCATGTTTGACTCGTTAAAAATATTGAGATAAATCGAACACATTGTAAAACTCGTTTTGGTATTCCTAAGTTGATTTGATGAATAGTTCAACATTAGATCATTTTGGGCTGTTTAGGCCTCAAATTAAAGAAGACTATGAAGGGCTTGTTTGGTTTGTTTTTGGGAGAGTTGTTTTTGAAATTTTTTTCTAAAATTTTGCTTGGTTTGTGATTTTTTTTACAGAGTTTTCATAATCACTCCCTTTTATACATCAATCAATCATTTTTTTTTTTTCACACATCTATTTAATTATAATAAAATATCAAATCATTTTAAACTTTTAAATTTTAAAATTACTTTTAAATTTTTTTTTAAACTCTTCCCCCCATTTTTTTGGGTTGAAAATCACTCAAAAATAAACCAAATACACCCTAAATGTTTTGAATTATTGAATGATATATTGAATGAGAAAAAGAAAAGAAAAGAAAAGAAAAAAGAGCATACTGCTAGAATGATTCATGAAGGTTTGACATGAGCTGGCAATCTGCATGTGCCCGTTTGACTGTGATTTGGTCTAAAAAACTTTAAAAATCATAAAACAAAGTAGATAGACTTTGTGCTTTGTGGAGTCGGTAAAACCTATTTAGCCAGTGTTACTTGTTTTGTTTTCTTCTTTTCTGGTGGTTTTGCCTTCTTGCTTCAACATTAGGGCTGAATAAAATAATTAAAAAAATGCGAACGGTCCATTTTAGATCAAATTGTATTGTTTGGTATGGTTTTCTCGAAGTATGATTAGGTGTTAATTCTTACAATAGAAGAATTGTACTTATGGGTTGGTCCATAATTTCGTAGTTATAGTTTTGGTTTGGAACTGGACCGTTTAAATATATGCGCGCTTGCACACATACGTATATATAATTTGTTATTTATGGTAGATACTCAAGTATTTTATTAGTATATGTATTCATAATTTAAAATCCCAAGTGATTTGTGATTGAAAATAGATTTAATTGTGGCAAATCCCAAACACACAAAAATTAACAATCTAAAATATCTAACACGCACGAAAGTGATTTAGATTGTTGTTTCGCAATTGATAAATTGACACAAAAGATTTTAACGTGGAAACAATCACAATTGGAGAACTTATAGGTAGTGTTTGGCAACAATTTTTTTTGGGTCTTTTTTTTTTTTTTTTCATTAGAAGACAATTTTTTTGCAAAACGAAAAAAACAAATTCAAATAAAATATCACATCAAATTTTATAATCATTTCATTTTTTCTCTCACAAACATCACATCCAACCACAAAAAAATCAAATTATCTTTCCAAACACAATTTTTTTTTTCTCCAATAATATTTTACAACTAAAAAAACCTACATAAAAACCTACTTCCCAAACACTCACATAATTGTGATAAAAAAATCACGGGCTAAAACGCACTAATCAATCCATTATGAAGATAATGAAAATATACAAGAGTACAAACAATTACCCAACACGCTTAAGAACTGTCTTCTGCCTCTTGTTTCTCTTTTAACAACACCATTATCTCGGAGTTGATTAGTCCCCCAAGCTTAAATCTTCAGAATCTAATGATCAAACGTTTTAGAAAAGTAGAACCATAACAAACCCATTGATATAAGCAATTCAATTCATGTGACATGACTAACTCACAAAATCATCGAGAGAAACAATAGGTAAGCACTCCAGAAGAAAACACAAAGTCTCGAGTTTCAGATTTGGTAATCGTGACCCTAAAATCTGCAACGTACATAGCTTTAAACAAAAGGGTCTCGAAGACCGCTTCCGCGCAGGAAAGTTCGTTCAAGTGGTGTGTTTAAGATGTGGAGAAACATAAGTGCTTTTGCTCGCGCGATAGAAAGTCCGCTCGGGTGCATAATTGAACCTCCCAGTATTTTTGTAGAGCAAGTTTGAATTACTGAGAGATGTTATTCTTCGCTGGAGCCATCATTTCACCGCTTGAGCGGTCCAAGGGCAAATAGGGCACAAACATTACAACTGAAACGTGTTTGTTCGCGGAATTGACAACCCAAGGGACCTAATAATCTCCATTTTGGAAATTTCCGGACAAAACACTTCCAACAATGAAGCCTAATAAAAACATGCATTATACACAAACACAACCTAACTACGCTAAACACCATGTGAAGTGTACCACCTACAATGATCACAAGAAGAACAGCACAAACAAAAGTGATAGCATGTAGCAATATATAAATGATTAGAATGTACCAATATAACCAATATAACCAAACCATAACCATGCTATTAGCATTTATACTTCCCCTTTTTGACTGGGAATGACAAAGAGCCAAATGCATGATCAAAACCCAATAGCCAAGAAACAAGCATACCATAAACTAAGCTATCAAGTTCCAAATCCTAATAGACATTAAACAGTTCCCAAAATAAACATCAATGAACCATAGCTAAAATATGTCCAATTTAGGAAATAATACACAACCAGAATAGAAAACAAATATGTCCAAAATAGTAAGATATGAAAGGAAACAGATATCCACAAGCATGGTCAAAAAAGAAGGAGAAAACATCACTGAGATGACGGTGATGGCTACTGCATCTCTAAATAGGATAGAATCTAGGCAAGCTGGTAAGAGGTCTAATCCTCCAAGGTAGAAATGTGTCCAGTAGTAGCCTCTAATGTAGCGAGACGGACATGCTGCTCTTCCTCATAATCAGTTGCAGCATCCAAATCACCTTCCTCTACCAACTGTTCCATACATGCATCAGAAGGACTTGCCTCCGAAGACTTCCCCTTAACATGAGCTTGACTTTGAAAGACGGTCTTTTTGGTGAACGGTTTAACCAGAGAAGTAAACTCATCATCATTGGAAGAGGAAACCTCAAGAAAGAAGAGGATCCAATTAATGAGACGCCCATAAAGAAGACCTAAAAACTTTTTACCCTCGAAGACAGACATCATTTTTGCAAAATCATTACTAGAAGATCAACGGGAATGAGGCGATCAATGCAGTACAAAACATACCCCTGGTCTTGATTTATGTTTGAGCTATGAGTGGTTACATGAAGGTTAGCATTGACAATGAGGTTTAAAAGACGAAAACGAGAGAGGAGTTCGTTTTGTTTGATTAGAGCCTCGGAAACGCAAACCCGAGGTAACCTACATAGATTAGAAGTTTCCAAATTGAAGTCAGCATTTGGAGTGGCAAGGAAAGTATAATGGCAATCAGTAATCGGTGGAATCCAAAGCATATGACGAATCAAATCTCGATTAACATGAATTTGTTTGGACCTGAACTAAGTGATAAAAGAATGACCATTCTCATCAATTGAGTAAATGTTATAGTAGAACTCTCTCACCCAATCGAGATTTTGAGAACTTGAGAAAAGAAGGACCCGGTCACCACCTAAGGGAGTGAATACATGCCTAATGGGAATAGACTCAAAGGTATTAGGGTGAACATTGCGTTTGAGATGAACAGGCCGAGAGACAAAGAAGTCCCTAAAAATTTTAGCTTTTTCCTTCGATTGGAATTTCTCAGTATTAAAAGCAGGGCAATTGGTCGTAGATTTTTGATGCTTCGTGGATGAAGACATGATTTAGCACTACAGAGAAAGATATCCACCAACAAGGACAACACATACCCATTCACAACCGACAAGCCATGCCCAAGAACACCCAACAACCAAACACCACCAACAACAATGACCCACGAAGACACCCCCAAAGACCAACCAATGGCCCCCAATATCAACCAATAGCCCTCAATGTGAACCCTCAAAACACCACCAATCAACCAACATCATTAGAGCCAATAACAAAAAAAAGAGAACACGGAAATTAAAAAAAACAATAAACAACCAAAACATGAGCATTATATTCATGAATGAGAGAGCAATAGGCAAAACAAATAAGCAAGACCAAACATAAAAAACAATCTTAAACAAAATATAAAGCCCTGGAGGAAAACTAGCAAAGCAACTAAAGATATGAAAAAATAACAACCAAAAAAAAAAAAAAAAAAGAAAAAAGAAAAAAAAAGAAAAGAAAACCCTAGAAAGAGGAGAGAGAAGAAAACCCATGAGAGATAAACCAAATACGGAGCGAACAGAGGAGAAACTTACCACAAAGTGATGAAAATCACGTGAGATGGGATGAAATCAAGAGAAACGAAGGAGATGAAGGTCGTCAATGGCAATGGGAGTGAAATCACCCTAGAAAGGGAGAACGTGAACCAATTTGGGCAGAAAATGAAAGTGAAGAGATGGAAGTGACTATTAAAACCCGCATAGACGAGTGAACACTTCATCGCTCGAGTGAACTAACTTAAACTCGTGCATATCACTTGAGCCAAGAATCCATCGCTCGAGCCCAAAAAGTATTGGATGAGGTCATTTATCACTCGAGCGCAAGAAACATCGCTCGAGCAGTCTCAATAAAAAAGAAAAGTCCCCAATGACCTTAACCATACCCCTGAGCATCCAAACCACCCAAAACAGAGTATCATCTGAAACTGCAAGGTATGAGTAAAATTGTAATAATGTGATACTAAGATGAAATAATCTACAGATCATGAAACTGACAAACTTGCGAGATAGATAATTATGAACATGAGATCATCAACAAGCAAGGTAAGAATGTATAAAATGACTTAGACAACACATGAATGCAAAGCTGAAAGGAGAACATGATAGCTCACAAAGATAGTGCATATGTGCAATCCTTGAGTATCCACA